TTCGTACATGTACCCTTAGGAATTGGAACCCTAGGCCGGCGTGTGGCGCCGCTGTCAAGTCAGTACGCATATCCATGAGTGTGTGTTTTGCGTGTGTGTGTGTGTGATGTTAGTATGACCATAGCCATACCTTAATTTCAGCTTGCTCGTTAATTTCAGGGTGACATCGGCGACGTCGTTTTAAATTGCCTAGACCAATTGCCACCAACCCATTGCCACCTAGAAACTGCCACCAACCAATTGCCACCAACAAACTTCCACCCACAAACTGCCACCAACCAGCTGCCGACAACAAACCTTCACCAACCAATCGCCACCAATTGTCACCCACCAACCACCAATTGTCCGCTCCTGTGTCTGGTGAAGTTGTTAACATGTGGGGTTATCCGGGCCTATATTTTATACGTGTATAAACATACACGCACGCAACCTGCAAGCAGCGAGTTCAACACGGTTGTTCGGTCTTTTTTCGAGACGCAACGCTTTGTGGCTGTCCTCTGAGGAGAACCCACTTTCACCCCCGGAGTTTGTCTTGTGATCAAAATATCACACAACTGATGCTGCCAGCAAACGTCTTCAACAACAATGAAGCACCCACCTTCAAACTCCAGAAACCGGCGGTCCTGAGCGTGAAACATGTGCCTAAAATTATGCCGCCTCACATTGTCGTTGGGGTCGTTGGGGTAGTCTGACCCAGCTTCTCTGTTTGTTTCTTAAAATCACCTTCCCAATTCTTTTCACACGCTGACAACAGTTGCTAGTGTAGCCTGCAGTTTTGAAGCCAAGCCGGGCCAAGCCAGGTGATATCTTTCCAGAACCTGGTTGCTTGTCTCGATGTCGTGCCATACGTCGTTTTTCTGTCCTAAGCAATCAAAAAGATTTCTGTATGAAACTAGAAAACCACTTCAGTTAGGGCTTGCGTAGCTCTTGGGGCACCCACCTGTTCTGGATCGTGCACTTTCTGTACGCAAAACGGATCGATTCAACACCATGCCGGCCGAACAATATGCCCCCACTAGTACGTGTATGTGTTTGAAACACCGGGTTGGGATTCTGACGAAGCTGAGCTGCGCAAAGAGCGGTAATGGCCCGCGCAGAATTGCCAACAGTATCACGTCGACAAAAGCATTGCTACTTGCAGCGTGTGAAGTCCTTTGCTGATTTACAGCCCGCTGCGAATTTTTGCTCACGATCGAAAAACCGTCCCGGCTGCAAGCCATAGCAATTCCAAGCGGTGGCTTTCACGCAGCCATGTACAATGCTGTGTGTTGCGCACGCCTCTTTCTAACTAGCAACATTCTGTCCTACAATATCAAAATGCTCCAAATATTTCCAAATGTATGCGCGTCTGCTGTGTGTATGTCAAAAGCGTAGCAACTTGTAGCCCCTGGACGGCACGTGGGCAAATGGTCAAAGTTTCAAGTGGTCTAGCATGGAGCCAACGCACTCCTCCGCCTGTGCCACAGGCGACCAAGTGGCTGTGACCAAGAGTTCATGTTCTGGACCGTTGTCTTTTCCATGCGCTAGCAATGAAAGCAGCGCGAAAATCCTCTTGGGCCTGTGCTCCCAGCAGGCACAATGATCTGCAGCAGCGTCTTAGCAGCGGAAACCAACAATGATGACTCGCCCCAAGACTGGCGCAGTTCCAACGTTGCAGAACGCCGCGTGCGTAACGAGCCTTGTTCTACAGGCACCAAGAGAGGAATCGGACCTCTGGACGGCTCAAGAGAGGGTACCTCACAGGCCTTGCAATTCCACCGTGGGTCTTTTGCGTGCTGCCTCGTGAAGTGGGCGAAGGGTGAGTTAAGGAGGAGATAGACCAGCGATCTGGGATGAAGGAATTCGGTCCGTTTGGCGCGAGGGTTCCTTCGTCTAGCCCGCTCCCTGTCTGCCCTGCCTGTCTTTCCCTCTCTGATCTTGCGAGGAGCGCTGCAGCCAGGGGAAAGCGTCGTGAAAGCAGCGCAGCTTCGCGCAGTGCAGAAGTCTTGCAGACTACGGCTGGTAACCACATGGATTAACACCATGCCGCGGGACCAGCAGCTCTTTTTACATTCAACTTAAGCAAAATGGTTGACATTTGGCGTCATCTGTAGTGTTCACAGCCTTTCTTAAGCTGTCTGACTGCATGTGGCGAGTGGCATGTTCCCAGCATACACAAACAGCGTTCTTTGTTCGATAGGCAAAAACAAACCGACATCAGAAATAGCCAAGCAGTTGTGCTTTTCTCTGGGCCATTTGCATGAGAGGTCAAACAAAAATACAACTATATGTATATATATATAACACATATTGAAAAGTCGGCGTGTGAGTCGGCCAAATTCACGTTCAGAACACCCGCCGCCGTTTCGTCTCACGATGTGGCCAAATGGCCTGGATCAAGCCACCCAACATTTGCAATTTTGGAATGATTGAGCACGCACGAGCACGTGCTGCCTGAAGCTCCAAGGACACCAACGGCTCTGTGAAGGTACCGTCTTCATACCTGTCAACTGAGGGCATCGACAGTTCATTCCTTCGCATGTCAAATTGTACCTCAAGAAAATTGGTTCACAAAGAAACAAAAGGCCTCTCTCTCTCACACTCTCTCTCCTATAATATATATATATAATATTATATAATATCGATTAATATCGTTTACAACCCTTGCCTCGACCGGATTGCACTGCACGACTCTGCAAATCTCAAGCAACGCCTTACGGACATGTGCTTGGCTCGCAGGGCTTGGCTCATCTTGGCTTCATTCCATGTTGCACCATAGCTACTTTATGCAGCTTTGCTCTTCGAGCAGGGCATTCGCAAAGGTGAGATATCAAGCATAATGGCCTCGGGCGGCCATAAGGTCAGGAAACAGCAATGAAATGCAATGAATAATTACACAATGAACAACGAAACGCACCCTCTGCTGTGTAGGGCAACGCAGCACTCTCTGCAGGTGATTGTCCACGAAGTCAAGAAAACATATTTGTAATTACTTGTAGAAAAGAAACCATGTAGTAGTACATATTCAAAAACATATATATATATATAATCATATATAATCTATTTCATTACTACATGCAAAACAGCCCATAATGGCTATAAGTTGTTATATCTTTATATATCAATCAATTTCCAAGGCTTTTTCAACACTCTCTGTCAAGTCCATACTATGAGGAGCAAGCCGTCGCCAGAATCTGCTCAAAGGTCTGAGCATTTAGCCTAACACCCAGCTACACGGTATGTGCAGGATACCAGCTGCTTCTGCTGACATCTTCCGCTGTCTTTCAGGTCGCAAATGCAGTTGTGGCTGTCGACTGTGTGGTGGAAGAGTGTCAAAGAAGCGTTTTAGCGTGAAGAAACCAATTAATTAGATAATAGGATATGATAGGATGCTGTTTTCAACGTTTGATTTAAGCTACAAGCGCTATAGCCAATATAGCCAACTAACTACTTGGCTTGGACCAGCACCAGCCTCTCAGTGGTGGCCTCCATCAGCCATCGCACCATGTACCTATATAAGTAGAAATCGTGAATCGATGAATTCACCAATTCGTTCAGCGACAACTGTCAAATCGCGGATTTGTCAATGCTGCTCGCCAAGGCCAAGGCTCCACAATGTACTTTTTCGCAATGCGAAGGGCAGAAAGAAGCAGCGCTAGTGGAGGGTTGTCCAGCTTCCACACAACCACCTGAAAAGTTAGGTCAAGCTTCGACTCCACTCATTTCGATCCCGTTTCGGGACCTTCTATGATGTCAACATCTATTTGTATACATATATTTATATCTATTTATATGTTATGCTATGCTATGCTTCTTCACCATCCACGATCCTCCAGAAGAGAAGTTAAAGGAGTTCAGTCTGGTCTTTGTCCAAGGCAAGCGCCGGATTCTTTCCAGGACTTCCCCAAATCCCTACGCCTTTCTCCTCAGTCTCAGACAGGTCTGACACGTTTCAATCAAGCAACTCTATGAAGTAATCCCGGCAATATTTCTGTGGATCCCAACAGATGTCCAATAGCCAGTAGGTGGAGCAGAGGCCGTCCCACCCTTCTGGCTAAAGTCCCACCTGGGTAGGCGTTGGGAGGGATGTTAGTGGTGAAGCTGTTTGTGTTTCGATCTACGAGAATCAATGAAGTTTGATTGCCGGGCCAAGGTCTGCACCCGATTTTGTGGTCCGGGACATCCTCCGTCACATCTTCCTGTGACCAAAGCTGTTCCAGCCTAATCTGCGTCGAGACAAAGTGCTCCCAAACACGCACAAACTTGCTACATTGTTCACAACATTATTCACACTCTCTAACACGATCCAGATTGCAAATGCCAGTATGCAAAATGATGTAAAATGGGTGTGCCCGTCAACAAAGGTGCGAAGAAGGACTCACAAGCAAAATTGAGACAGCGTCCTCTAAGTCTATATAATTATATATATATATAAAGAGATAAAGTACGGCTGAACAAGTTATCAGAAGCGAAACGAGTTTGCTGGGCAAGAAGCAAGAGCCGCTCATTGGCCTTGGCAACACCAAGCATAAGTAGAAGCCCGCATAAGAAATGCTCAGTGGAACACAATGGAATACAACGCGTAAGTACGTAAAGGTACATGAGTTTCCCGCATGTTCGCGCATCTATCTATTTGCATGCAGTGCTGTGAGGCTGGCCTCATCGCTGTCCTCATCATCATCACCATCCTCTTTCCAGGAGAGTTTCCTTGAAGTATGGTTGGCAGAATCTCCCGAAATATTGATCATGTACATAGTTAGAAATCAAACAAGTCCAGAGTTGAGTGTAGTGCCAGCATGGACCGTCTTGGTCGTCATCACTGCCACGGTACAGAAGCACCTTTACAAATCCGCGCTTCTGAAATTGTCTGAATCACGGTGAGCCGACTGAAGCACTTCTTTCAAACAATAACCCGAATAGAAAGAAAATGCAAGAAGCACCATGGGGCACCGACTTCGTGAGCACCATTCCAGAAACAACCACTTAGAGTACATTAAGTACATCCTTCACAAATCCTGCAGGGGAAACACATAAGATACCAACTTATTGCCAGCATTCTTTCAGGTTGGACAAACAATGCCAAACAAATATTATGCTGGCGAAAACCATTGCTTTGAATGCGTGAATCAAGAACTACAGAACCCCTAGTCCAAGTGGTTTGTATACTTTTTTTGTTGCAATTGATTGCTTTCAAACATCAGCAAAAATCAAAACACCCTTTCCGCCCGACTTCTTACAAGTGTGAATGAAGACATAACACAAATGCTTAGGACCCATGCTTGCCCACAAGTGACCATAATCTGGTTCAAGAATCTTGCATTGATACAGTATGAGGATTGGTCTGTTGCGTTCGCAACAAATGCTACAAGTAGGTGAGACATGGTGAGAATAATCCTTTGCAATCTTCAAGAACAACTGAATGCAGTCGCTATTTTCGAAGTCCGGTCCATCTGTAGTTAGGTTTTGTTGCAACACCACTTTCCCATAACCAGCGGACTGGGCTGGAAACCCAAAGTGCATTCCATGTGTGGGGTGCAAACAGTTGAACCAACCTTTTCAACAAGATCCAACCAACATGGCAAGTCATGCAACGGCACATTACAGCGAGACTTGACAACTTCTGCGCAGCGCTGCGTGCCATCGCCACACAAATCACCACCATCAATTCTAGATCAATGCGAATCATTGCCATTAGTGCAGCCGTACGAGTGACCTTGCCACGACAACTTGTCACAAACAATGCGGTGATGTTGTAAAGCGCCACATGCCACCAGACTGTTAGTTGGGAAGCCAATCACGCTCCCAGGAACTGGGCCTCAGGTGGGTCACACTTTCGGTAGCTAAAGCGATGTTCCACTTCCAGCTGATGCAAGCTCCACCAGGTTGTGTGGTGTAAGGGCCCTGAAATATTGCATCAGGTACCAGTAGGTTGTTGGGGTTTGCAGGATTGTGGCTCTGCTGCTGGGCAGCAATATTCCATGAACTGTGACTGTACCAGGCCTGGTTGCTGTTCAGAAACTTTGGCGCTCCTCTGAAGGTTCCCGCAGCCTCACACCGGCCGCCCCGAATGCAAGCGACGATCTGCTTTCCGAGAGCCTCTTAAACTGATCCAACTCAACTGGTCCTGCTCAGGAGGCACTGAGTGTTCAGAGCAAAAATGGGAAGTAAGTTTAAACAATCAAACAGGTAGAGCATTGTAGAGCATGTAACGTACAGCTTGGGCAAATACTGTAGGCTATATATATATATATATATGTGAGAAGGAGCAACCAACTGCTAGACCTGTTTGTATCACGTGTCAAAACATGTCAAAATGCCCTGCAGCACCCTGTATAGGGCAATTCCTCTTCCTACAAAAAAAGTATGCTTTTTGATCTCTGAATCAAGCGCTTCCAAGCGTGAATAACCGGTGATTTTGGATATTTGTTGTTACGTGGAAGATCTGGTCCTTCCAACCAAGTTTGTCAATCAGTCCTCTTTGTAAGGCTGCAGATTGAGGGACGTGGTCCAAGAGAACCCAAGCCTACAGAATCCCTATGAGACTCATGCTTCCTCATCCACCACCCCTGCACCGTCACCGGCCAGCAAAGGCCGCATCGTGAAAGTCAATTACTTGTTCCTAATAGCTTCTTGTTACTACTAGTAAGGCACTTGTTACTAGTAGCGATGCACTTGTTTCTAATAGCTTCGTGAACCAGTAAGTCTGAGTAGAATGTCACCCAAACATTCAAATACACATAAACTATATAAATAGATCTAAATAGTGTCGTTAGAGCAGGATGCTGATGCAAATTATGGACTAACCCACTCACCTTGCTTCTTCCGCATCACCCACCCACCAAAAATCAACTCCTTGGCAAAGTAAAAACACGAGCAAGCTAACATGGTTTACAACCACTTTACCGCACCTCCCCGCAAAGAACTATAATACATGCCTCCCCAAAATCGACCTTACAACGTTCTTACTGTTTTTTTGAAGTCTTGGATTGCTAAGGATTATAAGCAAAGGGCTCAAGCCAATGCCAGACACGAACCTTTCGGTGCTTCGTGGCAAAGGAGCACCCGACTGCTTGAGAGTCCTTTGACAGACTAACATGACTAATAGGACTAACATGTTTGGACAGTTTTGGGGATACCTCTATTTGAGAAACTGATCCATCACAAACTAACAATGCGATCTCAGTCATTTTCACCGCTCTTTGGTCGCAAATAGGGCTTGCGACAGTCTTTGCCAGTCTTTGGAAAACGGTCTAACTAAGGTGTGACCGTCATGACCCCTTCTGATTGGGTCTATGTCACAATTCCTAGACTGTGAGTCTTGTCTTCTCTATGTAGCGTCAAAGATCGCTTCTTGCAGCCTGGCGCTTTTGAGAAAGGCCACGAACCAATTTTGATAGCCACAAATAAAACACCAATTACGTGCGATCAAGAATTCTCATGACAAATGCTAGCAACCACTATATACAATAACTCAAGAAAACAGTCCTTCGGAATTGCATCAAATTCCATCGGAACATCCTGAAAAGCACAACAGTGCAAAACATCCTCAAGCCTGTCCCTCAAACGTATCGCATTGCCGGTCCATAACGCGACTAATGCCGCCGATGCACATCAAATTCGACAAAATGATGTCCATATCTTTTCACCTTGGATGCCAGCCAAGAGGGGCATGGGACCAGTAGTTTGGAGCCCTTTTCTATTTTTTTTTGCCACTTTGGCTTTCTAATGAGAATAGACTAAAAACATCTGATCCATCGCCTTCAAATTGCCTTCCAAGGAGCAAGGTTGAAGTGTAACTCCGCCTTTAGTCCAGAAATCAATTTTGTCGCACTTCGCAGGTCTTGCAAAGCATTTGTTTAAAACAACAATACAATAAACACGATATTTATTCCCCGTGTGCACCGTTCTGTTGCACACCCGTTCATTGTGATCCATGGACACATGTCGAAGTTCACTTTGGAGGAATCATTATATTGCACGCAATTGAATCTGTCATGCAATTCCATTTACGCGTCGCAAACACCTGACCTCTGGCAATCTAATTAGGATTCATGTGCACTGAATTTTCAGCATAAACATGGCCTTGAAACCTGGGCAATTCTTTTTTTCACTTCCTGTCTCCTTCTCCGTGTCGTGCCTCTTTGCCTTTCCACTTCGAGATTTGATCATCCAATGTATCGAGCATGGACTCATCATAGGAGCTGTAAAAATTCTCCAAGTAGTGACCTCGGTTGTACTTGGCCAAGCTCCAAAGTATGGCTTTCTCCTTTGGGAAGTTTGCCCTCTGTACTGTTCTACTTCTCGCTTACCATACTGGCAGGTTTGTGCCGGAGCTCGTCTACGGCTCTACCTGTGTTCGGTTTGAGGCACATCCCTAGTTTGCTGTCAGCTAGTCTGTCAGCTGTACCCTACTAGTGTGGTGTCACTTGAGCGCACTTCTGGGTGAAACTCTTGCTATCAAACCAAGCGACAAGGTTGAACCAAAACAGGGTCTTCTTAATGTATCGATGTCTTGAGTCGGGACAGGTAACAAGTTGCAACGCAAAGGTCCAACCATCGCCAGAAACTCTGAGTGGAACGAATGACAAACACTCGACTGTGCTGAACAGTAGTTTCGAGCTGTCTGAGCCTTGCTCTTCAGCATCTCTGAAACAATAGGAAACACCGATGATATGTATACTGTATATATATATTATATGATATATATATATATATACGTATGTTTTTAAAGATATGTTGAAACATTGATGGTCTCGCAATGTCTCGCATCTGAGATATTTGCGACGCTTTCTCTTCGCCTGCGAACCAAACGTGTCCAACTCTAATCATAGCCACTTAGGCACTTTGAACATCATGGCCCTGATTTGAGGCATAATTTGCTTGTAGTCTGGTAGTGGTAGGGTTCGGCAATGCTTACGTGATTTGGCCGTTTTGGCCCACACAAGCCTTCCAAACGAAATGCTGTGCGTTTGCGTGGGAAATGTATGGACATGCCGTTGAGCATATTCGACGTGCCTCTTCTTTGGGAGTGCACTCGCAGGACTCCTTCTGTGAAGCTTGGTGGAAGCCTTGCAAAACCGTTTGAAAACCAGTTATACTCCCTTCGACTGAGATTCATTGTGCATAGTCTGTGGCATATGATATCGTATTCTTCAGCAACTCAACAGTCTTTCTTGGTATGTTGCCCACTCCAAACATCTGCGTCATTGAAGAAAATGAAGTGGCCTGTCGAAAGGGTCCAGCAAAACTGATGAGATTTTCATGACTTGTGGTGTTGCTGAGTAACGGAAGCTCCAACAACAGAACTTCAAAGCCACATCAGAAAAAAGGCAAACGAATCATTTTGGAACACATGTTGAGACTCAATTTGGAACACATGCGACAGTGTCCGATTAGACTCATTTCTGAACACAGGATTAGACTCAATTTGGAAAGTAAACGCACGCTTAGACTCAGTTTAGAACACAGGCTGAAGCACCTCCGGTGGTTCACAAAACGTCTGCTACGTTGGAATGCTTCTCGAAATTTTGCCTTCGGGTGGCTCACCAAAGGTATGCTGCGTTGGAATGGCTCCCTTCTTCAGTCTGCCACATTGGAACTCCTTTCTTCTCTAAATTTTACCATCGGGTGGCTCATACAATGGTTCCTTTTTGCGTTTTTTGTTCACCTTGGGTGGCTCACAAAAAGTATGCTACCTTGGAAAGCCTGCTGTATCCCGGTCTGTCTGTGACATTGGGACTCCTGAGGTCCTGTCTGCTCTAAATTTTACCCCCGGATGGCTGACAAAAGATCTGCTACGTTGGCATGGTTCCTTTCTGCTCAAAATTTTACCATCGGGTGGCTCACAAAAGGCACGCCAAGAAAAACATGATAAAACATATATAACAAATCATAATAATAAACATGCACACAATGAGAGATCACACAGAAAAAAAGAAGCAAGAACACCAAGAAAAACACCAACAGAAAAACAGGAGGCAAGAAAAACAAAGGAAGCCAAAAACAGTGAGAGATCACTCCGAAGAAGGCCACAAAGCAACACACACTTAGATTCATAGCTCAAATGACTGAGCATAAGGTTCAGTGAGTGATTCACCGCTGCATTAGCACTGTACGTTACTGCGATAGACCTTGACTTGAGGGAGCCGCAAGGTGACTCGTCGGCTGAACAGAAATGTTGAAACAACCTGAAGAAGTTGGGAAACAGCCTGGAAGGGAACCATTGGAGTCGTTGTGTTCACAAGCAGGTACGTCAGTTCCGCGTCCGGAGCTGATATTTTCACCATGTATTGCCAGCTTCGTTGATGGAGAGGCAATACAGGTGTCTCCATCCCCTGCTCTATTGGAAAAGCATTGTCAGCGATATCTCTTGGAAACAGAGGTGTGCGCACACACAAACAAGACGAGAACACAGAAGACAAAAAAGAGCCACAAAGAAAAAACACGAGACAAGAAAAAACAAAAACACAATGAAAGATGACACAGAAGAAAGACACAAAAACACACACACCAAATCACTGAAATACCTAGACGGGGAAAGAAACCAAAAAAATCATGTGACAAAAAACAATGATACCTGTTCGGATGCAGCGCGTTCCAAAGCGAGATTTATCTCACGTGTTTCACGCGATCCAAATCGAGATCAATCTCGCGTTCCAAAGTGAGGGGGTTCCCATCAGAAAAGCAAAGACATATATAGACTATAACTGTCGGAAAGGAAGGAAAACCTCTCACCCCGTCTCAAAATCGCGGTGATTGCATGCATCATGCAGTGTTTGTGTGCCAATTGGAATTGAGTCTACATACACAATGTTTCAAAGAGAAGTCTGCATCTGACCTGCATGTACGGCCGGGAAAGTGCGTGCCAATGCAAGCAATGACAGCAATAGGACGCATCATCACCCAATCCATAATATCAATCCTCACATCTTTTCCAAACGACAAAGAAAGTGCGCCCCGATTTCCAAGGCTGCCAGGTTCCGCACCATTCTACCTCTATCATTTGCGACTTAAGGACATATGTATATATATATATATTATACACCTAG